GCACCTTCATCTAGCGAACTTTGCCCCCTTTGGCCTTTGTTTGTGTTCACTGGGAAGTTCGCACAGTGAACTTCTTGTTGTTTTTTCTGGGAAGCTTCGCTGCAAGGTTCACCTAGCGAACTTTGCCCCCTTTTGCCTCTATTTGCATTCGCTAGAAAGTTCGCACAACAAACTTCTTGTTGTTTCTGGGCAGCTTCGCTACAGCCTTCGCCTAGCGAACTTCCCTTAGTTTTTCTAGTTTTTTCCAAAAAAAAAATTTCAAGGAGTTCATTTTTTTCTCTCCGTGTTTTGTGTTGTTTCAAGCCGACTAACTCGATGTGGTTGCACGACCATCGTATGTGGATGTTGTTACGGTCATTTTTGACTTTTGGTTCTAAAAACTATTTTCAAAAATAAACTCTCGATTTTATCGAGCTATTTTCACCCTTGTAAGTCGACCTCCTTGTACGTTCACCATCGACCTTGTTCGCATCACTTCAAATATTTTTACAAACAATAAAACCCTTGATCCAACATCAAGTGGTATTCTTTTTCTCATAAAAATCCCAAAAAAACAATAAAGATACAATTCGGGTCATACACCATAAACTTTAAAGTGATGGAGAAGGAATGAGAATGGAACCCTCCTACACTCGTTCCGAATGTTTTGAATACAAGGCGCTCGACTTGGTTATTTGAAACATTCATCTCTATCCAAAGTCTTTAGTGTGATCCTAATAAAAACAATCTCTTCTCAAAAACCTAAAAATAACATCAACTCATCAAACTTCTTTTCGCCTTAGGGCATCAATCCGAAAACCCTTTTTCAAGGTATAAAATCAACCAACAAACAACCATTTCACAAGCCTACGAACTACGGAGCTCTGATTCTTCACTTCTTTTAAGTGAGGATACGTAGGCACAAGGGCCACAATCTTTGGCGAGCACTCTAATAAAAAACCAACCCCTCTTTTTCCTTAAGCAAGCAAACTTTTAGATTAAAACACCCATTCAAGCTAAAACAACCTAGAAGGTTCCCATCGAGTACGATGAATGCGAGGGGGTGTTAATACATTCCCCTCGCATAACCGACTCCCGAATCCTAAAACTTGGTTGCGATGACCATGTTCTTTACCTAAAGGTTTTATTGTTATTTTCCTTTTCCTCCTTGGGATAAATAAAATTCGGTGGCGACTCTGTGTCATTTTTCGCCTAAGCAGAAGTAAGATAGATTAGATGAAATGTAAGTTCAGTAAAAGGAGAAATGTTTCTAGTCCAGAAGTGAAAGTTGGAGGCCATATGATCCCATGCGTTACAGATTTTGAAGGGGATGTAAACCATCAAATTCAAGTTGGTGAATGAAATGGAGGAAAGTCTTTGGAATTTTATACAACACAAAATTATTGCTCAAGTTGAAGGAAATTTTTTTATCGAACAATAGTAAGACATGCAATGTTGTACAAGAACAAATGTTGGACGATTAAGAACCAATACAATAATAAATTAAGTGTAGCAAAGACGGGGATATTGCATTAGATGTATGCTAAGAATAAACAATATAAGATTCGAAATGAAAATATAAGAGAGAATGTTTGGGTAACACCTATATTAGAAAATTTTGTGAAAAATAGACTTAGGTGGTTTGAGCATATAAAGAGAAGACATGTAAATTCTATTGTAAAGAGGGTAGTTTAAATAGAGAGGAGTCAAACAATTAAAGATAGATGACGATCTAAAAAAACTATAAGAGAAACTATTAAAAAAAATTCAATATTAATGAATTAGATAAAACATGGTAATGAATAAAATATTATGGCGGAATTTGATATATGTAGCCAATCCCATTTAGTCGAACAAGGTTTGGTTGTTGTTGTTATTCTATGAATAAGCAATTAAACAAGTTATTTTATACATTTTTATCCTTTTGTCATTTTGTCTTTATCTTACATTTTAAGATTTTTTTTGTTCAATAGCTAATATACTATTATACTTAATACTCTTTAGAGTAGTTAATAAATTCACACCCAAAAACATACTTTATTTCTTAACGTAATTACTTGAAGAAAAAAAAAAAAGAGAATTACTATTGAGTGTTGACACTTTGATTAAAATTTAATTTGACAACAACTTAAACTTACAACACATACCATTTGTCTCAAAATTGTGAGTTATTTAATGTGTTCGGATGTGAATTGGAATATGCAATGCCCATCTACTCTATATTAATGTGTAGAAGTTTTATAACTAAGTTCTTTGAAAAAATATATATTATATAAAAAAAGATAATTTTGTCCAAACAATTTTTCCTCCAACATGAGCTAAATTGGACCAGACTAAAATTGATTTGGTTTGGACTTTCACTAATAGGCCCAATCACAAAACAAAACCCTCCCATTCCAAAACTTGAGGAACCTATCCGTTTCATTTCAATACTTGTCTTTGTTCCACCTATAAATAACTAGCACTGTCGTTGTTCCATCGATAAACAACTAGCTCTATTGTCATCATTGTTCCACCTGTAAATAACTAGCACCATTGTTGGCACCATCGTACACCACGTAACCGTCAAGGTAACCATAATTTCCCTCCTTTTCTCATATACTCAAATTGCAATATAGTTACTAATCAATAACCAATAATTTTTGTGTTTATTTCTTCTTGAAAGTGAAAATAAAGAAACTGGTAGCAATAAGGTTTGGAGGTTCAACAAACAAAATAGGTGTCAGTGTAGTAACCTTAGATGGATCAATACTTTCAAATCCATGCCACTCTTATATAATTCTACCCGGTCAAGGTTTTCTGCTAAGAGAAATAACACAACATCATTTTCAACACATTCTCCCACTTATTAAATTGGCTTTAGAAACAACACAACTTACTCCACATGATATAACAAATGTAGTTTATATCATGTAGAGTATTTCACGTGCCTTAATTGCTTTAGAAGTCCATGTGTTACACCAAAGATCCTTGTATCTATATAATTACTAGTGATACATATATAGTTCATGAATAGAATTGAGGTTCATGTGTCAATATTAAGTAAAAGTATTTGGTTATTTTCCGATAAAACACATTTTAACAAAAAAATTTTAACATTAAATACTTGAACGTAATCTTTTGCAATAGTAATATGAGAATGAATTTTTAACCTAAGTTATACCTCGACAATAAGCTTTCTGAATCCTTCATTTTCAACAAACTTGAAAGGAAATTCATCTATAATTATCATATTTGCAAGCGCTAGTACAGTATTTTCTTGATTAAAATCAATAAGGTTAAAGCTAACAATATTAAGGTCATCTTCATTATTCTTTCATATTGTACGCATATTTTGTGAATTACTATGTTTTCTATATGGTTTTTTTTCGAACAAGCCTTTAAATGTTTGAGCATGTTAGTAGTTTCATGGCTAGAACTATTTGCAGCATAAGATGTGAAACACTAGTTACAAAAGGCATAATCTTTCTTTTTTGTAAAATGTCTCGAAACACTAGAAGGTCTATAGGATTTTTCTTTACCTTGGTTTGTGATGATGAAGAAGTTTCAAACCCTTGTTCATGAACTAATTCAACAATTTCAACTCATGTTTGCACAACTGAAGCAACTTCAATTCCTTGTTGATTTTGAGCACATTAACATTAGAATTAAGGAAAAATAACATTATCGATAATGTATTCCATTTCCATAAAACATTATAAATAACTTAAATCATTAGAACAAATAAGAATCATATAACACAACAAGTAATTTGTAAAGGATATGGAAGAACAAAATAGTAGAAACAAGGATCAAATGATAAATAAAGAAACAAATGGGGAAAAAATTAAACCAAATAAAAAAATATCAACAAAACATAGATTAATTGAAAGATAAATAATTAAAGCATGCCTTATTTATTTAAGAAAAATGCAAAAGAGAGGAGAAAAAGGTCGAAGGGTTCAATTCAATTGGGGAGAAGGTGAAAGATATGAAGGGAGGAGGAGACAAATCTAAGGCTTTTTTGTGATTGCAAAGAAGGTTGAAGGGTTTGATTATTTGATTGGGGAAAATACTGCTTCATTTTGTCATTTTCGTTTACTTGAAATAGACATTTTTCTTAAATGAAAAATCAATGATGTTTGATTTCTTTATATTAATAATAGTTGTGATGTGAATGTCACTTGACTTCTATTTTGAAATTTCCCATACTCTTCTTTTCTTTCTTTTTCTTTCAATTATTAGTATATTCTTTCTATTCAATTAAAATGAATAACTTCTTTTTGCTTTGGTACCAATCCTTAATGAACTCATAAATGTGCTATTTTATTATGAAAATTAAATTAAAATAGCAATTCTTCCATTAAGTTAAAATGAATAATTTGATATGTAAATTAATTACAATTACTTGAGGTAGGCAAACTTACAAGTAAAAAATAGAAAATTCGTTGTCCAAATCAATTAACATTCATTTTTATTATTTAGTTTTAGTTTTTATCCAAACAAAAAAAAATATCTAACTCAAACACCATAATTTATTTTAAATTTGTCTAAATTACTGAACATCCCGATTCCTGAACAATACGGAGAAAAACTTTAAATTCTCACAACTTTTAATATAAGACCAGATGTCTTCAAAATAAAAACAAAAAATGAAAATTTTCAAACTTAACTTATTTTGTATAAAAGTAAAATAGTCAACTTGTGTAAATTGTAACAGTGGAAAGATAATTGTCTGGGTATAGGATGATTTTTTTTTAATTGACCGGGTAACCCATAATTTATCGGGTTTGGGCTTTTACGGGTAGGCCCGATCAGAAAACAAAACCCTCCATTCCAAAACTTGAGGAACGAACAACACTATCCGTTTCATTTCACTACTTGTAACTAACCAGCACCGTCGCTAGTCGCCGTTGCTGTCATCCACCGCGTAACCGTCAAGGTAACCACCGTGTTCCTCCTTTCCTCATATACTCAAATTACAATACAGTAACTAATCATTAACCAATAATTTTTGTGTTTATTTCTTCTCGAAAGTGAAAATGAAGAAAATGATAGCAATAGGTTTTGAAGGTTCAGCAAACAAAATAGGTGTTGGAATAGTAACCCTAGATGGAACAATTCTTTCAAATCCACGCCATACCTATATAACTCCACCAGGTCAAGGTTTTCTACCAAGAGAAACAGCGCAACATCATTTTCAACACGTTCTTCCACTTGTTAAAGCGGCTTTGGAAACAGCACAGGTTACTCCACAAGATATAGACTGCATTTGTTACACCAAAGGTCCTGGTATGGGAGCTCCATTGCAAGTTTCTGCTATTGTAGTTCGTGTGCTTTCGATGCTTTGGAAGAAACCAATTGTTGGTGTTAATCATTGTGTGGCGCATATTGAAATGGGTAGGGTTGTAACAGGGGCTGATGACCCTGTTGTTTTGTATGTTAGTGGTGGTAATACTCAGGTTATTGCTTATAGTGAAGGGCGGTACCGTATTTTTGGGGAGACTATTGATATTGCTGTTGGGAATTGTTTGGATCGGTTTGCGAGGGTGTTGACACTTTCTAATGATCCTAGTCCTGGATATAACATTGAGCAGGTGCCTTTTCTAGTTCTGTTTTACATTGTTTATGACTTCTCTGTGGTATGTGAGTTTTTCTTTGTAATTTTTGAAGAGTTGGGGTTGCAACCTGGGAGCATTTGTGCTTGGTTTTACCTTGATAAAGAAAAGTGATAGTTTTGTAAGTACTATCTCAACGGACAAATGTCTATGTCGTTAGGTTGGACACTTTGTCTTGGTTCGAACCTGAGACCACACAATTGTGTGTGAGTTTCTGTCGGTTATTGTCATTTCATCTGCGGACCAAAAAAACACTAAATATATAGTCTTGTCATGTTTGATCATGCTTAACTGATTAATGTTGTCATCAGTTGGTCTGTGAGAACTTGTCTTATATAGTTTTCTTATCCTCCAGCTTGCAAAGAAAGGAGAGCAATTTATAGATCTTCCTTATGTTGTCAAAGGGATGGATGTATCTTTTAGTGGAATATTGAGCTATATTGAAGCAACTGCTAATGAAAAGCTAAAGAATAATGAGTGCACACCTGCAGATTTATGCTACTCTCTGCAGGTAAGTTTCATTTATTTTGACACCTTTCTCTCACAATATCCTGTATAGTTGTAACCATATAATGAATAATAACATTACTAATAATAATAAATGAGAATTTGAGAACTGATATTTCATAGTACGTTGCAGGAAACACTGTTTGCCATGCTGGTGGAGATAACTGAGCGTGCCATGGCTCACTGTGACACAAAAGACGTTCTTATAGTTGGAGGTGTAGGTTGCAATGAGCGCCTACAAGAGATGATGAGAACAATGTGCTCTGAACGTGGTGGAAGGTTGTTTGCTACTGATGATAGATACTGTATTGATAATGGTGCAATGATAGCTTATACTGGTCTTCTTGAATTTGCCCATGGTGCGTCGACTGCACTGGAGGATTCTACATTCACCCAGCGGTTCCGGACAGATGAAGTCAAAGCCATATGGAGAGAAGCAAATTTGGCAAAATCAAATAGTCTTGTGGACAAAAGTATTTGACTTTTCAATCTTGAGGTGCGCAAATATCCTTGTGCACCCAATTATACTCAGGTTCAGTTAACAATATAAAATGTCTGTTTTTATGTGTCAAAGAATCTCTTACTTCTGTTCCACAGTCAAGGTTAGGTGAGTTCATTTATTGAGTCATGCGGGCCTTTCTTTTTTAACTTAAGCTTTGTATACGTTAAGAAGGACTTAACTGCATTGTTTAAAACTTATAAGGATAACGTTTTAACAATTACTACTAGGCAACGAGAACTGATTTTCTTGATTGAATAGTTGTTGCTAACAATATCTGTTCCCCCAGAATCTCACTGTTGGGAGTATGTTGGAAAAAAACTTCTAATGTGCTCTTGTTAGGTTCCCACCACACATTAACACACAAGGATTAGGGAAACGGGATTATTCGCCTTGAATTTTATTGATTGAAAAAAAAGGATTACACAAAGGAGCTATCCTTCTCTACACTAGAGTATTTCTCTAATCAACAACTCAATAATCTTCCTAGCTTCCTTAGGAAAAGTTAGTCTTATTTATAATATGACTAAATGAAAAACAGTTTAACAATTACAGATACTAACAACCCTAACTAACAACTAATATAACTAACTTTGGTTTACAACCTTCCCACTTTTTCCTATATTTAAACCTGGGGGACTCTATCTCCTGTCATAGTCTCGTCTTGTTGCCTAACAGCTCCCTCCAATTTTCTGCAATAACTTGCTGATTTCTTAACTTTGATTTTGCCTCTAACTAATGCTTGTATGCCCATTCTGTCCTGCCATCTGTAAAGCTTGCCTGTCAATTTATTTCCTTGAAATGTGGAGCTTTGTTTTGTGTGCTCAAATATAGTAGTTGTGCTCTGGCTTCATCCTTTCTGTCTGGTACTTGGACTTGGGCAATTAATTTCCAAATTGAGTCAGGTTGGTAGGCATTCCGAGTTAGAATCCCTTGCAGAGGTACGAATGAACTGAAGCTGGACGTTAAACCTACAAACTATCCTCAATTTGGGTATTGACCCATTAGGTTTGGAATGATGCCCAACTTACAAAACGTCCATTCTGCCACTATGTTTCTTCTTCAACAGAACCAATACACATGAATGAAACATTGCTATTGTTGTCACCCATGGTTGCTTTGCCCATAGTGACTCACTAACTTTCTCCTGCAAGCTGGTGTCCGGCGGTTTGTTGCTTCAAGTGCAATTCTTGAACTGCACGATTGTACCCCATTTCACACTCATATTCATTCTCATCTAAATGTCAGTCACAATATAAGTACTGTAGTTCGAAGTTTTTGAGTCCTTACCTTCCTTCTGCCTCCACTCTACAGCTGGTTTACCTGCCATCCATGCATCCAAGTTCAGGGGCATATGCTTAGACTCCAAGGTTGCCTGTGATTGTCGGTTGTTGCACCAAAAATTGGCGATTCTACATTATTTGTCCAAGAATAAGATTCTCGATGGCTACACTTCCCTGCATCTTCACCAATTTTTTTTTTCTGTATCTGCCACAGCCCTTCTTCAAAGAAGGTAACATCACTTCCTTTTTCACCTTGTATGCAGGTATCTAAAGTAGCAAGCACATGTTTTGTCTTGTTCTTTCAAACTTCTTTAGGTTAGGATCCCATTGAAGAAGCCTCCTCAGTCCTCCCTCTCTTGGATGCAACCAAACGTGTGCGTCCTTAGTTCTTGTATCAACTTGCAACAATTCTTCTGCCTACGTTGGCTTCTCCTCAAGGATCTGCCTGGTTGGTCCCATTTGTTAGGAGCCAAGAAACTGAATTCAAAAGAAAGAATACTTTATTGAAAAATGAGAAATAATTGAAGAGAGGGGAGAGAGATCTCTTCCAAGGGTTTTTTTCCTTTCTTCAACAGAACCACAGCTCTATTCACCAGTGTTCACAAATCTGAATAAGTTTCCCTCTATCCATGTTATTAACTACTATAATAACTTTGAACTACTGTATTACCTTTTATTCTATATCTTCATAAAAGATCTAAAACAAACAAAAAAGGAGATAAACTTATGTGACTGAGCCTTAAGGTTACTGATAAATCTATTTTGCTACTATATGGTTTATGTTAAAAAATCTATGAAAAACAAGCTGTATAATTGAATAATGCATGTTTCATTATCTAAGAAATTTATTTTTGCTTCTCAACTCACAGGGCTGAGTACTCAATTGTGATTTAAAGAAAACCAAGGGACTAATGGATATCCAAATCAGCCATCTTCAAGTTTTAGTTTGCAGTGATACTCATGTACAATTAAATTTATTAGCACTGTAAATTTATGTATGAAGAAACTCTTCGTTTTGTTTGATATTTTGTAGGGTTATGTGGTGCAAAATTGTGTAATCCGTGCCAATATATAACCATGGTTCATGGTTTAAAACAAATGACATATTTACTTTGTACCTAAGGTCCTGGGATTAGTAATGTTGTAACAGCTCCCTTTCCTCTTCATAGTTTGAGAAGCCAAACTTTTGTCTTAAAAATGCACAAACAAACACCTAATTGTGTCATGTTCATCAAAACAAATTGTAAATTTCCGAGAAGAGTGAATCTTTATTACTCCATATAAAATTATTAAAGAAAATGCCATCATTATTTTTTTTTTTAAGTTTCGATAGTTATAATTAGTTACATGAGAAATTGCAAAGAAACATATCCAATAATATAATAGTGTTTAAATATTTTGAATAATGTATAAAATTTATGCTTTTGTAATAATATATTTATTTGATATCTCTTAATAATGATTGCCTCCCCTCATAGGCCAAGAAATACTTTTAATAACAATCACAATAAACCAACTTTACCTCTTCGCAGTCTCCAAGTCTTTTTTATAAACAAGTGTTAGATACATGTAAATTGTTGCATTATTATAGAATACAAATAACAAAAAAGAAACAAAATAAAATTTAGCATGGATTGTTTCACCGAGGAGCAAGAATGTTTGGTGAATAGCTCATGGGAAACATTTAAGAAAAACATTCCTCAACTTAGCATTTACTTCTATACTTTGTAAGTCTTTTTTGTCTTCTATGATCCCTCACGTTGTTTGAATTTGTAATGTGCGTTTAAGATTTTCTTTTTTCAAATATACACTTAGTTATACATTTGACACTCTTTGGTTTGACTGAAAAAAAGGATATTGGAGAAAGTACCAGATGCAAAGGACATGTTCTCTTTTTTAAAAAACTTTGATGGAATACCACATAACAATTCAATACTTGAGGCGCATGCCGAATTGATTTTCGAAATGGTTAGTACAACAATAGTATCAAATTCCGGGCAAGTTACTTGTGCACCCTAACATTTATGTTTTGTTTGGACTGCAGACACGTGATTCAGCTGTTCAACTTCGAGCAAAAGGAAAAGTGGATGTAGCCGATGATGTTACGTTAGAATATTTAGGTTCTGTCCATGTTCAAAAAGGTGTCATTGATCTCCATTTCATGGTATGTTTCTTAAATTTACACTTTGTAGTGTAACCATTTGTTACTCATTTTAAATTTTTTTTTTAAACTAGAAACTAATTAAAATTGATATTTCAAAAGACAACAAGTTTTTTTTATCATAAAATTCAATATTTCGTAGGTTATCATTTCATTTTTAAAAAAAATTAGAGCTAACCAACACTAGTTTTTTTTATAGGTGTTTAAAGAAGCTATGTTGAAAACAATAAAAAAGGCTGTGGAGGACAAATGGAGTGAAGAGTTGGATTGTGCTTGGGGTAAAGCCTATGATGAATTAGCAGCTGCAATTAAGAAGGCGATGGGATGGTCATAAAAAAGTGTTTAGATTATTTTGTTTTCACTAAACTTGTTAAACAAGTTTCTCTTTAAAATGTCGTTAAAAATAAGCAGTAAAAGAGACATTAGTGATAAAAGAGAACATAGAAACACAAATTATAAACATTGGATACAATAATCTTTTATTCAGTTCAGTCAAGTGTGTTTACTCTGCCACTACATAACAATTGTAGTTTGTTTTATTTTCTGAATGAATTAGAGTTTTAATGTTACACACTATATATATAATACCATGGTTCACATTATAAAAATACTCTTGAATTGTACCATGTGGGACTAATGCCCTCACACTTCTCAGTTGCCTTAAACAATTAATTGGGCCTAACACATGTATGGGGCAACATATGGGCAGGGGCAGAGGGAGCCTCACATCACTATGCTAGTTTCTCTTACTCTCTTTTGTGATTACGAATCATACTCAACAATCTTCACTTAGGCGAGTATCAAACATCTAAGAAGATTTCATGCATGGTGTCAACATGTTAGGTAATTGATAGGTACACTACCAACTTAACTCTAAGAAACATATAACAAGTCTAAAAAGTGCTTGAACATGTCACTGGTGAGTGACTTGATTAACATATCAATTGCATTCTTTAATGTATGAAATGTTTCAAATTAATATTTGTTAAGATGCATGTTACTCTCTAATCTTGTGAAATCTCGCGTTAATATGTTTGGTCAAATACGCTTGATTATTTGCCAAATAAATATCACCATGACTGTTACAATGCAATTAAACTTCGTCTTGCTCAACACCCAATTTCCTAACCAATATTATAATCCATAAGGCTTGTTTGGCAACCTTAACTACTACTATGTACTCTACTTCAGTTGTGGATTTGACCATCATGTATTGATTACCAACAATCAACGTACTATCCACATACATTAACATGAAAATAAAAAGGTCATCATAGAGACTCATAACATAAACACAATAGTCATACTCACGTCTTATGTAGCAAATATGACTCATGTATGAATAAAAACGTTTGCATCTCTATTTTGGAGATTACTTTAAACCATATACATACATCTTCAACATATAAAATAGCCTACTTATCTCCATATCACTGAAATCCTCTGACTGTTCCATGTAAACATGCTCATCTAGATTACAATGAAAAAATTTCATCACATCCATCTGCTATAAGTTAACCTGGCTACCAAAGCTAACA